TGTCCTTAAACTTCCGCGAGAACTCCCGAATGGCTTCCACTGGCACGGGCTGCAGAAGAGGGGCCAACTCGCCAACTTCGAACCAACTTCCAGAGCCCCCAACCCCCCCAAAGCTTCGAAAAGTTGGAGGACTCAGCCTTGAGTAAGGAGAGAGGGTCAGCCACCACCACCCCGTCCAGGGACAGGGTGGCGGCGGGGGTCCAAGGAGCGGCCCCGTTAGAGGCCGCGTGAACACGACGGGCCCCCCGATGGGCTTCAAAAAGAAGCCGCCCCCTCCAATCCTTGTCGGCAAGTTTCCTGGCCGACGCCTCGACCTCTGACAGCGCCGTCTGGAAGGCGCCCACCATGCGAGCGAAAAAGTCGAACAGAGGCCCGCCCTTGGCCTCGTACATCCGCAACTCGAAGATAAAATCGCGCAGGGCACCCAAGAAACTATGAGCAGGCCCTAGGTGCTGCGCAAACTGAGGCGGCGACTCCAGAGCAGCAAGCACAGAGTCGACGCCCGTCTGACTGCCGTTCGACCAGAAGCCTTCGAAGTCACAAAACATGTTGGCCAACCAGCGGCAAGAGAACAGTTCCGAGTTCATACGAGTGCCCTTCTGGTGCAAAATGCGCCCCCAACACATCTGGGGGGCTTGCCCCTCGCGCCCCACACGGGCAGGGCCTTGCCAGTGGCCGCGGACACCTTGCGCTCAGCAGCATTCGCCCAGAGTCTATACGAGCGATCAAGGACCTCCTGGGCCCTGTCCCAGTCGCCCTGCCCAGCCGCAACCCGAGCAGACCCCAGCACGTCGCGGACCCTAAAGGGCGGGAACACCGCCTCGAACACCTGGACGGGGGCCAGGGGGGTCGCGGGGAGCGGCGGAGGGCGCCGAAAGGCGAGGGCCTGAAGACGACCGGGACTGGGATGCGAGACGACTTGCACGAGCGAATGGGGAGCGAGGCCACTCTCACGGATCACCTTAACTTGGCTAACGGTCTTGGCAACGTCGGCCGAAGCGATGGAAAAAGTCGCATTGGTTGAGTCCTGCCGTTGACTTACAAGCGTGCCCATCTAGAATCAAAAGCTGGATATCCTCCGGCCTGGATCCAGAGCCGCCCGAAAGGAGCATCGTCGGCCCCATACTGAAATCCGCCCCGAGAAAAAATTGCACCCCAGGGCCTGCCCCAGGGGGAGGCACGAACACACGAGGTCAACGTTTTCATCCGACAGGTCCTGGCAGTCGTGGAAATAGGCCGACAAGATGGCGAGATGCGCCTGCCCTGGGACGTCCACGATGCCCACAAGGGCCCGCCCCGCAGCAATCTGACGGCCAGAAGGCGGCGCAGCAAGACCCAAAGACTCTCTCACGAACGTCGCCACGCCAGCAGAGGGGCCACCTCCACTGCCCGACACCGCCGCCACCCACCGGCTCTTCCACCCGTGGCGTCTCGCCCGCGACGATGCCGAAGCCAGTTGATGGGGCATCTGCTTATGCTCCTGCATGACCACCACGCGTGCCCCAGTCTTCTGCAACCACAACTGTCCAGATCCCCAGCCAGAAACGCTACCGGTTTCAATCGCTGGCGCGAGCTGGTCCAGAGGGAACGCGCCAGCCTCCAGAGGCCGCGGCAGCTGCTCCCGGGGCCCGGGCGAAACACCAGGCATGAGAGGCCCGCGGGGCTCTAAAAATTTAGGCGGCGGATTCGGGCCACTACGATCGAGGGCCGACTTGGCCCTAGCCAACGCGTGACCAACAGCTTTCAAGAGGGAGGGGCGAGCACCAGATCCAGAACCGACGGTGGCGGCGTCAGCCTCGGAGGTCCACGCAAGGCGAGCCAAAAAAATCTGTTGGGAGAACGCCACCTCGACGTCTCCCGCGCCCTCACCTAGGTTCTCGACACTGCACGCAGCAAAAGGCGGGGAGGAGGAGAGAGGTCGACCTAGCGTCGACCCCCAAAAGTTAGCCTGCGCATTGCCTGCCAGGGGCTCAGAGCTCAGAACGGGACGGCTCGAACCTGACAGCGCCCCAATCGATGAGGAGGGCCTCGAACGCGAAGCCAAACCTGCACCCCCATGGGCTTGCACAGCCAGTGCGACGCCTCCCGCGGGAGGCCGAAGTAGTCCACGATCCCCCCCCCAGGCGGAACCTGCGGGGGGCGCCGTGCAACACTCTGTCAGCACGAGAGCGTACATCACCAGGTGCAGCAGCAGTAGGCGCGGGGCCGCCTTCGCCTGCAGGCGCAGGCTCGGGCGCGGCAGGCGCCCCGCCCTCGCGCCCTGCGGCGGCAGCGGCGGCAGCGGCGCCAGCGGCTGGGGCAGCACCACCCCCAGCACTGGAAGTGCCGCCGCCTGGAGCGGCACCACCTGCTGCTGGTAGGTCATACTGTCCTTCGGTGCGGCGACGCTTGGCCTGTAGCCTCTTGAGCTGCTCGGCATGAGCCTCCTTGAACGCCTTCGACTTGGCGGCAGCCTCACCGAAGAGCTGTCTGACCGCAGCCTGGATACTTTCTCGCAATTGTTCCAACCTTTTTGTCGCTTCCTGCTTGTCCTCGTCCGAAAACTCGTACTCCGTCTCAGCAGCGAGCAAGCTGTCCAAACAGATAGGCAGCGACTCTCCATTGAGCAAGTCGTCAACACTGAGCATCGGTGGAGGGGCAGGCTCTCGAGGACAACCTGCCGCGGCCTGCAACTGGCTGACAAGTGACTTGTGCTTCTCCTCAGCCACCTGCAGCTCCTCTCGGAGGGAACGAACTCGGCCCCGTTGTGCATCCAGCTCGCTCTCCAACCGCTCGAAGACGTTGAGGTTCTTCCCGAGCTTCGTGTCCAGGGCGCGCATGTCGTTGAAAGAGCGGTTGACCTGATGCTCCAGCGGGACCTGGACCTTGGCCTCCTCAGCCTGGCGGCGGAGGCGAGCGTCGAGTTCCCGCTGCCACTTCTCAGCGGCCTCGGGGCCCCCCATGCGGCGCAAGCCGTCCACGAGCCCGCGCAGCTGGTCAGTGTCGGAGAGCTGGCCCGGCGCCGCCAGGGGGTTGCCGTTTCCAGACCAGAAGAGAGGGCCAGGGCGACGAGGAAGGCCATCAGCAGGCGCAGGGGGCAGCGCACGCTCCCAGGTGCCAGGCGGAGCGCTGCCTGCCCACACGCCCTGCGGCTGTGGCCAATGCTGGCCCGTCCGCGGGACAGCGCGCCAGGCCCAGCAGTTCTTGCACTGCGCCCAGCCCTGCTTGTTCTTCTTGAATCCGCACGAACTGCATGTCCATGTGGATGCACGGCTCTGAGCATCCCACTCTGCCCAGCCGTCGACGGCGGCCTGCTCTCGCCACGGCCAGCTGGCACGCGCCTGGGCTCCACGCCCCCGCTGGGCTGAAGCAGACGGCGCCATGGCGGCGCTGCAAACTTGGGAAGTGAAGGTATCCTGTCAAATTGCTTGGTTCGCAGGAACGCGTGCCCTTCTGAAGAACGCCCCTGCAACGCAACTTGGCGCAGAAGGGCTAGGAGGAGGAGGAGGAGGAGGAGGAGGAGGAGGAGGAAGGGGCCCTCAACCCTCCTCCTCCTCCTCCTCCTCCTCTCCTCCTCCTCCTCTCCTCCTCCTCATCCTCCTCATCCTCCTTATCATCATCACGCCCATAATCAGCATATTCTTCATCATCAACATCAGCAGCAGCATCGTCATCATCAGCATCATCACATCATCATCATCATCATCATCATCATCATCATCATCATCATCATCATCATCATCATCATCATCATCATCATCATCATCATCATCATCATCATCATCATCATCATCATCATCATCATCATCATCATCATCATCATCATCATCATAATCATCATCATCATCATCATCATCATCATCATCATTATCATCGTCATCATCATCATCCGCATCATCAGCAGCAGCATCAGGATCAGCATCGTCATGATCATCATCATCATCATCATCACCATCATCAGCATCAGCATCAGCATCATCATACTGATCATCATCACCAGTGTCATCAACATCATCAACATCATCAGCAACATCACCATCATCATCATCACCCTCTTCGCCATCATCCTCCTTCTCCTCCTCTACATCATCATCATCATCATCACCACCATCACCATCATCATCATCATCATCATCAGCATCATCATCATCATCATCATCATCATCATCATCGTCATCATCATCATCATCATCATCATCATCATCATCATCATCATCATCATCATCATCACGATCAGCATCATCATCGTCAGCATCATCAGCATCCATCTTCACATTATTCGTCATCCTCATCCTCATCAGTATCGTCATCAGCTTGATCATCACGACCAACATCACCATAGCTACAATCCTCATACTCAACAGCAGAAGCATCCCCCTCCTCTCCATGATCCTCCTACTCTTCCCCCTCCTCCTCAGCAAGCAGCAGCGTATCATGATCATCATCATCAACATCATCAGCAGCAGCAGCATCATCATCAGCATCATCATCAACATCAGCAACATCGTCATCATATCTTCGGCCTTGACTAACAAAATATCGGGGCCGAGTTGACGGCTCCTCTCGTCTTGACGACTTAAGTGTTGGAGCTGAATTGACGATTGCTTTCGTATCCGCGAACGTAGTCTTGGGGCCGAGCTGACGTCTGAAGTGTCCGGGCCGAGTTGACGACCGTAGTGGGCGCTTCTCAAGATATGCGCCGTCTGAGCCACTGGGCTGGATTCAAGTCATCATCTTCATCCGACTCATCCTCCTCTTCATCATCAAAAGTCGAAACTCCTCCGCCCCAGACCCGCCCTCCCCGACCCAAAACCGTCCACCATCGGTCCCGATTTCTCTTCCTGGGTCCATCCTGATCGCTTTTTCGTTCCAGATCGATGTCTGCCAGTCCTGATCTCCGAAACAGGTCCCCAGAGGCCCAAATCGGCGACACCGCCGCCGACGACGACAGAGACGACCAAGACGACACCGACGAGGACGAGGACGAAGACGAGGACGATGACGACGACGATCCCATCGGCCTTGAGCGGGCTCTCCTGGGGTCGCTGCGAGACCGCGAGCGAGACCACGAGGCCGGGCGGCCCCGGCTCCCCATGTTCTCCCGCGAGCGGCTGAGCGTGTCCTGGCCACGGCGTCCGCTGGCGGGTCGCCCGCGCGCGCCCGTCTCCCTCGTCCTCCTCCGTTTTCTGCTTCTTTCCCTCCCATCCCTCCTGCTTCCGCTCCTTCTGCCTCGTCGTCATCCTCCACCTCCTCCTCCTCCTTCTCCTCCTAGCCCTCCTCCTCCTAGCCCTCCTCCTCGCCCTCCTCCTCCTCCTCCTCCTCCTCCTCCTCCCCCTCGTCTTCCATCCTCATCATCATCACACCAACAACCACACCAACAACAACAACAACAACAACAACAACAACAACAGCAACAACCATTTTAAGGCTGTACGCTCTTACTTGCCCGCGAGTCATTCAACACGTATACCCTACACCCTCGATACCCGCCCTCTTCGTCTTCGATCACACCCCTTTCGGGGGGATTATTTCTCTTTGCTGGGGCCGGCGGGCTTAGACGTACGGGCAAACCGGAACGGGCGGACAATCCTTCGGGGGCGTACATCTCTCTGCCCGCCATTGGAATTGGCGCGGGCCCTGCAAGAGGAGGAGGGGAAGAACGAGGGAGAGTGGGAGGAAGGGGAGGGGGAAGGACGAAGGAAGAGGGAAGATACCACGTTGTGAAGGCGTCCTTGGCGCGTGCGTGGTTCCTGAGCGCCGAAACGCAATTCCAGAATAATTTGTGAGGACGTCACACGCGAGAGCGCAGTCCTGAGTACATTGTAAGGAAATCTCAGGCGGAAGCGGGGGCCCTGACTAAGTTGCGAGGAAGTCTCAAGCGGGAGCGCCGTTCCTGAGCAAATTGCACGGAAGTCTCAGGCGGGAGCGGGGGTCCTCACTAAATTGCGAGGAAGTCTCAGGCGGGAGCGCCGTTCCTGAGTCAATTGCGCGGAAATGTCAGGCAGGAGCGGGGGTCCTGAGTAAAATTCGAAGAAGTCTCAGGCGGGAGCGCCGTTCCCACGTAAATTGCACGGAAGTCTCAGGCGGGAGCGGGGGTCTTGATTACATTGCGAGGAAGTCTCAGACGGGAGCGCCTTTCCTGAGTAAATTGCGCGGAAGTCTCAGGCGGGAGCGGGGGTCCTGAGTAAAAATCGAAGAAGTCTCAGGCGGGAGCCGTTGTTGTTGTAGCCCGGGGGGCAGGGGCACAGTTTGAGCAGGAAGACTTTCCTTGAGAAAAAACAAGGTGCGAGCCCCGGGGGTGGCACTTCAATCGAAAAAAAACAATGTGCACCTGTGGGGGGGGATCAAAAATAATTATTCTTCAAGAATGAGAGTTCAACAACCACAACAACAACAGTTAAAACTACAACACCAACAACAACAACCACAACCACAACAACAACAACGACAACATCAGCAACAATCACAACAACAACAGCAACCACAACCACAACCACAACCACAACAAAAACCACAACAACCACAACAACCACAACAACCACACCAACAACCACACCAACAACAAAAGCAACAACAACAACAACAACCACACTGGCAACCACAGCCACAACAACAACGACGACTACAACAACCACGACAACAACAACAACCACAACCACAGCAACAACAATAACAGCAGCAGCAGCTACAGCAACAACGAACTAAGAACCACGACAACACCAGCAGTAGCAGCAGCAGCACCACCAGCAACAGCATCAGCATTACCATCCTCAACTGCAATGTCATCGGCATCCTCATCGTCATCAGCAGCATCGCCAACATCCTAAACAACAACAATAACAACAACAACAACGACAACAACAACAACAACAACAACAACAACAGCAACAGCAACAGCAACAGCAGCAACAGCAACAGCAACAGCAACAGCAACAGCGACAGCGACAGCGACAGCAACCACAATAGCAACAAGCAACAGCAACAGCAACAGCAACAATAATAACCACGACAACAGCCATCATTGCAAGACTATTCGCTCTTATCTGCTGGCGTGCAATTAATTCAACACGTATACCCCAAACCCTTGATTCCCCCCCTCTTCGTCTTCGATCGTGGCCCCTTAGGGGTAGATCTTTCCTACCTGTTACGTGTATTTCGTGCAGCCCCTAAGGCAGGGGAAAAGAAGACGGCTGGAAGAAAGGGACAAGGGGGAGGGACGAGGATCGAGCACGAGAGAGAGTAGCAGGAGAGGCGCTAGGAGCAGAAAACACGTGGCAGCACCAGACGGGCAGATCGGGCGGGTGGGCCCCAATGGGCGGATCGGGAAGGCGGGCCCAGGCGGCCAGGTCGAGCAGGCGGGTTGCATGAATCGCGAGCAAGTCTCCCGCAATAGCGCGATTCCCAAATAAATCGTCTGAAATCTACAGCGAGAGCGTGATTCCTGAGTGTCGAGGGCGCGGCGTTTGAATAAGTTGTGGGGAAGTCCCACGCGAGAGCGCGATTGCTGTATAAATTGTGAGTGAGTCCAGCGCGAGAGCGCCTTTTGGTAATAACATGTGATGCAATATCAGGCGGGAGCAATTGTTGTGGTAAACCGGGGGCCAGCAATACAGTTTGGTAAACCGGGGGCCAACAGCCCGGTGCCAACCCTTGTAAAAGACGGGGTGGGAGCCCCAGGAATACAGACTGGTTGCCGGGCACGGGCATCAACCATAAAGTTCTTAAGAAATGAGAATTCAACGACAACGACACCACAGGTAACAGCATCAGCATCGGCATCATCATCAACGTCATCAACACAATCAGCATCATCACCATCATGGTAATAGCCAGTCAGCATCATCATCCGACCAACAGCAGCAGCATCAGCAGCAGCATCAGCAACAGCATCAGCAACAGCATCGTGACCATCATCACCATCATCATCATCATCATCATCATCATCATCATCAGCATCATCATCATCACCATCACCATCACCATCATCATCACCAAACCACCATCATCATCATCATCATCATCATCATCATCATCATCATCATCATCATCATCATCATCATCCTTAACATCGTCATCCCCATCATCATCAGCATCATCATTATCAGCATCATCACCATCATCATCAGCTCGCCATCATCACCATTACCGGCTGTCACTGCTTTCATCCGTCCTCTGTGCCGTTGTCGCAGGAGCTCTTACCAGGCACTCGAAGCATGCGAATGCAGCCCGCACTGTCAGAGAGAAAACACCGCGCAACACGTCAAGCGACGCAAGAGTGGGCTGCTGCGTCATCCCACTGCGCAGGCACGCGTCGGAACTGCCTCCCCGCCCCCCCCCTTCTCTGGCGCGTGAGGCGCGCGGGAGGCGGCGCCGAAGGCTCACCGCCAGGGCTCTGGGGAGAGGAGCATGGCGCCCAACCGAGAAAGCCGCGCGGGCCCCCGAACGTGCATGTCCCTGCCGCTGCACTTCTTACGGCCGTGCACCGTGGCGCCGAAGGGCCGGCAGGTACCCCGACCTGCAGGGCGCACGGCTCCTGCAGGCAGCCTCGGGGTGCGCCGCGGTCCGGCGGCCTGCCCCGGAAACGGAAGACACCCGAGCAGAAAAAAACCGACTCGAGGCAGCTACTCCAGATTTCGTAATAAAGGGAGGGGGGTCTCATTTCGGGGAGGGGTCTCTTCCAGGCTATCTTGGAGGGCCTGGGGGGTCTGGGGACGATGTTTTGGAGGGTTCTCCCACGGGGGAGGTCTGAAATGGCTTGTCTTGGAGGGTCCAGACCCCCTCCCTTTTATTACGAAATCTGGAGTACTCAAATTCCGCGGTAAGCGCAGGGGCAGTACGGTCGGGAACGTTTGCTTAGCGCGTCGGGGCGGCGGCCCCCGCGACACGCTGTGCCTTGCGAGCGGATAACGTGCCGCTCCGCTCCGAGGGGCGGGAGGCTGGGAAAGGGCGCGTGACGTCGACGCTCGGGGGCTGGGACGTGGATGGCGCGCCGCGCCGAGGCGTGGTGGGCCAGAACCGGCGGCGAGACACGCTGAGTCAAAGTTCTCGACCGTATAGGCGCCCCGGCTCCCCAACCTGTGGGACGCTGGGGCGGCTGCACACTGAACTCCTCCGCCAAATTCGCTGGCTCCTCGGCCAGCCAGACGACGCAGTGCATACGTCGAGCTCTTCCGACCGCCGCGAGCTCGGCGCTGTTCCGTGGCAAGCGTGGGGGTGGGGGTTGGGGGAGGCGCCCCCGCTGGGGTCGACCTCGCCTCGGCGGATCACAGCGCCACGGGTCGAAGCGCCGTCGGCGCGCCGCGGCTGTCCACGACGGGGGCCGCTGTTTCGCGGTTGTCTTCACGAACCGACTACAAAGATGTGTTAAAAAGAAAATTCCTTCAAGCCGAAGAACGGGACGAAACCCAGCGATTGAAACAAACGTTGAAATTTAAACTGGCGCCACACGAAACGAAGACCGGAACGAGGCGTTTAGAATTCCTCGACGTGGAGATCCCCACATGTGCATCTCGTACTCCTGTCGCGTCTCACTGAAGACTCTGTCTATCAGCATCTGGGTGTGAATGCGAATCCGCGTGGACGACAGGTGCGGCAACGAGGACAACGACGACGACGACGACGACGATGACGACGACGACGACAGCGACCACTTCAATGACGTCCTCCTCCTCTGGGCATCTATTAGGGAAGACGAGGGAGCACACAAACGCAGTGGCACGCCAGCTGTATTCCGGTAACCACGTGTGTGCGCGCGAGCATTAGTGCGAGTGAATATGAGCGTTTGGTGATCTGAATGTGAGCGAGTCGGAGTGTGAGTGGATACGGGTACGATTGAGCCTGAGTGTGAGTGAGTCTGGATATAGTAGGAATGGGACTGAGTATGAGTCTGAATGCGAGCGAGTCTAAGTGCGAGGGGGTCTGAGTGCGAGTGAGTCTGAGTGTGGGTGAGTCTGAGCTTGAGCGTGGTAAATACAATTCTGAGTATGAGTGGGCCTGGGTGCGAGGTAGTTTGAGTATGAAGAGTCTAGGGTAGGTGAGTCTGAGTGTGAGTCAGTCTGAGTGTGAGTTGGTCTGGGTGTGAGTGAGTCTGAGCTTGAGTGAGCGAGCCGGAGCATGAGCGGGCAAGGATGAGTGAGTCTTATGATGGTTCACTATGAGTAAGAGTGAGTATGAATATGATGAGTGAGTCTGAGTGAGGAAGAGGTGCTGATGAGCAGGTCCAAGTGCGAATGACCTCGTCTGAGTGGGAAAAAGGGAAGCAGGCGAGTGAATGAGTGAGTGAGGAAGACACAAGTCCAAAGAGAAGTCTGCCGGGCAGAGACTGGCAAACCGCTTGAGCCATCCCCACAATCTGGGCGCGAACCCTGAAGTGACCCCTGGCGGCTCCCCCATGGGAGCTCAAATGCGACGCCTGCCATATCGCGTAGAGTATTGAACCACAAAGCAAAAAATCTGGGGGGGGGGGGGGGGCAGATACAGGCAAACCGCCAGAGACAACCCCACAATCTGAGCGCGACTTCTGGCATGTCCCAACCCCTGGTGGCTCCCCCTTGGGATGCCCGAGTGTCACGCCTGCTATATTGCGGTGAGCATGGGCCCGCCAAAAGAGAAAGTCTGGGGAGCAGAAACAGGCAAACCGCTTGAAACAACCCCACAATCTGGGCGCGGCGTCTGGCATGTCTTCACCCCTGATGGCTCCTCCTTGGGGGGCCCAAGTGCCACCCCTGCTATATCGGGGTGAGCATGGGACAACCGACAAAGAACAGTCTGAGGGAGGCAGAAACAGGCAAACTGCTTGAGACATCCCCGCATTCTGGGCGCGACATTTGGAGTGCCCCCACCCCTGGCGGCTCCCCCCTGGGGTGCCCGAGTGCCACGCCAGCCATGACGCGGTGAGCAGTGGACCACCGAGAAGGCCTGAGTGAGTCTGAGTGAGGACGAGCGTGCCAGAGGGAGAGACGCTGAATGTGCATGAGTGGGAGCGCGTCTGAAGCTAAGTCTGGATCTGAGTGAGTCTGAGTGAGGACATGATGTGGCTGAGCCTGCTTGAGGAAGGCTGAGTCTGTGGACCCCGTGAGAAAAATGAATCTTAGAATACGGTGAACAAAAACAAAAAACGAAAAGAAACGGAAAACGAACAACGAAGCGAGCAAACAAACAAACACACAAACCAAGCTAAGCAGCGTTGTGGTCGGTCGTTCGTGGTCTTTGGCAGGACTCGCAAAAGAGCAAAAGCCCTGCCTGGTAACATGCCGCCTCCTAACCATCGTGCTGCCATAAGAAACGGCTGAACTGCAACGAGGAGGGTTTTCTGGCCACGGCAAGCCTCGGTCACGAAGCGGCTTCCCCAGCCTGCCCAGCCTGGATCCAAAGAACGGCCGAAAACCAGAGCCCGTCCTGGGCCCAGAATGTCTTGACCGCGCGGCTGTCTGCGACGGGGGGTCGATGTCTGTGGTTGCCTTCGATAGGGCTCGCACAGTCACAAGCTCTCGCCTAGCATATTGCCGCCTCCTGGTGGACGTGTTCTCCCTCCGCAGCCCCAACCCGAATCTTCTCATCCGCCGGGCAGTTCCGCTTCGTCACATCCTCCTTCCTACTTTTCCTCCTCGTCCCTTCTTCCTCTTCCTTCCTCCTCTTCTTCCTCCTTCTCCGCCTCCTCCTACATTTCCTTCACATCTTATCGTTCCTACCAGGCCGCCAGAGACCGCGAGGGCCCCGATCCTTGATCATCCGCTTGGCCCTCTCGATGTTGTCCGGCATCCCAGAGAGGTACACCGTGCGCTTGTCCGGCTTATCGGGGGTATCGTCCTTCAGGATCCCGTGGAGGAGGGGAGTGAGGAGTGGGAACAAGAAGGATGTGGAGGAGGAGAAGAGAGAGGGGAGGAGACAAGCCAGGCGCGCTCGTGCCACATCTGACATCGTATCTCTCCCTCCCATCCCTTCCCTGTGCGCTGATGTTTCTCTATCCGCGGACGCGTGTCATAGTCGACCTGGAACTCCAACAGAAGAGCACTGTCGTGTCATGCGCAATCGGAAAAGAGGAGCTGCGTACATGGGAGGAGCAGGTGGTGGGTTAGCAGGAGGATGAGCAGGAGGAAAGGAAGGAAGAAAAGCAGGAGGAGGAGGAGGAGGAGGTGGAAGGAGGAGGACGAGGACGAGCAGAAGCAGCAGGAACTGGAGCGGAAGGAGGGGGAGGAGCAGGAGGATCAGGGGGAGTCGGAGAAGGGGAAATGAGGGGGGCGACAGCGATGAAGAATGACTCGGATCAAAAACAATGGCCCGCTCTGGGGCGCGAGCACCACTCTGAACAATGGAAGCAAAGCGCCGATCCGAGAGTGAGGCCCACGCTGCAGGCGACAACAATCAGAGTGCAAAATCCCACCAGCCCTAAGGGAGTAGATGGTCCAACGATGTGTGTTCGCTCCTCTTCTAAAGCCCCCCTTCCCCTCGGGGAGGGGTACCCTCCTCCTCGCTTCCGTGGGTATCTTTGTCTGGGGGTGTCGCGAGTCGTCAGGGCGCGCAAAATGGCCCAATAAGGCTCATAGATGGCGCCCGATGCTCCAAAATGGCCTCCAAGATGGTTCGAGACAGCCTCCGACATGCCTCCAAGACGCCCCAAGAGGACCGCAAGACGGCTCAAAGTGCTCTCGGAGCCCCCATCCGGATCCCCCCAAGAGGCAAACATCAGTCAAAAACCAAGGGGAAGTCAAAATGATGTTTGCCGTCTCGCCTTTTTACCTAACAGCGAAGACTGATAAGTTTCTAGAATGGTCTCAAAAGAAAACATCATGACTCCACAGGGGGGTCCGGGCAGGATCCGGGGAGAATCCGTGGAAGTCTTTTTCAGCAAACAGTTACACTTTTCGTGGTTTTCGAAGTCCCAGAACTCCACTCCCGAGCCACATTCTGAATGCCCGGAGCCAACTGTAGGCCACTTCGTGGTCGTCGAGTTCCCAGAATTCCATTCTTGGGCATGATTTTGAATTCCCGGAGCCAACTGTAAGCCACTTCGTGCTCCTCGAGTTCCCAGAACTCCACTCCTGGGCATGATTTTGAATGCCCGGAGCCAACTGTAGGCCACTTCGTGGTCTTCGAGCTCCCAGAGGTCCACTCCTGGGCATGAGTTTGAATGCCCGGAGCCAACTGTAGGCCACTTCGTGGTCTTCGAGTTCCCAAAATTCCATTCCTGGGTATGATTTTGAATGCCCTGAACCAACTGTAGGCCGCTTCGTGGTCTTCGAGTTCCCAGAATTCCATTCCTGGGCATGAGTCTGAATGCCTGGAGCCAACTGCAGGCCACTTCGTGTTCTTCGAGCTCCCAGAAATCATTCCCGGGCCACATTTTGAATGCTGAGGCAGGCTGAGGCTGAGGCAGGCTGAGGCTGAGGCTGAGGCAGGCTGAGGCTGAGGCCGAGGCTGAAGGCAGACTGAGGCTGAGGCTGAAGCAGGCTGAGGCTGAGGCTGAGGCTGAGGCTGATCCAGGCTGATGTTCTGGCAGGCTAAGGCTGAGGCTGAGGCTGATGCAGGCTGAGGCTCAGGCATGCTGAGGCTGAGGCCGAGGCTGAAGGCAGACTGAGGCTGAGGCTGAAGCAGGCTGAGGCTGAGGCTGAGGCAGGCTGAGGCTGAGGCAGGCTGAGGCTGAGGCAGGCTGAGGCTGAGGCTGAGGCCGATGCAGGCTGAGGCTGAGGCTGAGGCAGGCTGAGGCTGAGGCCGAGGCTGAAGGCAGACGGAGGCTGAGGCTGAAGCAGGCTGAGGCTGAGGCTGAGGCAGGCTGAGGCTGAAGCAGGCTGAGGCTGAGGCTGAGGCAGGCTGAGGCTGAGGCTGAGGCAGGCTGAGGCTGAGGCTGAGGCTGAGGCTGAGGCTGAGGCTGAGGCTGAGGCTGAGGCTGAAGGCAGATTGAGGCTGAGGCTGAAGCAGGCTGAGGCTGAGGCTGAGGCAGGCAGGCTGAGGCTGAGGCAGGCTGAGGCTGAGGCAGGCTGAGGCTGAGGCAGGCTGAGGCTGAGGCTGAGGCTGATGCAGGCTGAGGCTGAGGCAGGCTGAGGCTGAGGCTGAAGGCAGACTGAGGCTGAGGCTGAAGCAGGCTAAGGCTGAGGCTGAGGCTGAGGCTGAGGCTGAGGCAGGCTGAGGCTGAGGCAGGCTGAGGCTGAGGCTGTGACTGCGACTGCCGTTGCCGCTGCGACCGTCATCGCGAATGCGACTGCGACTGCGAGAACAGCAGAATTCTATAACTAGATTCTCATCTGAATCTTAAGGGGAATGCTTCCAAATATGCTCCTACACATCGCTGTTAGGTTGCTTTGCCGGGATAATCACTTCCGATTAGCTACGGCCCCAAGATGGTCCAAGAAAGTCCCAAGAGGGGTCTAAGAGACCCCCCAGAAGGCCTCAAGAGCGTCCAGGAGCGCCCCAAAGGGCCCCAAGAAACGAGCTTACGGGCTCTACGGGGGGAGCGGTGCCAAACAAGGCCCCCCTTTTGATCGATGGCCTCCAAGATGACCCCAAGAGGCCCTCCAGGGCTCCAAAGAGACCCCCAAGAGAGCTCCAAGAAGGCCCCAAGACCCCCCAGGGGAACCCCCAAAAGAACCCCCAGAGGGCCCCAAGAGGGCCCCGAGAGAGCCCCAAGACCCAAGAGGACCCTAAGAGGGCCTGAAGAAGATCCCGAGATGGCTGACAGAGTGTTCGTCCTCCTCGTCCTCGCCATCCTCGTCCTCTCCTCCTGCTCCTCCTCCTCCTCCTCCTCCTCCTCCTCCTCCTCCTCCTCCTCCTCCTCCTCCTCCTCCTCCTCGTCATCCTCCTCTGGGTCGTTGTTTTCGTTATTCACATTTCCCTCGTCCTCCTTCCTCCTCCTCCTCCTCGTCATCCTCCTCTTCTTCGTTGTTTTCGTGATTGTCATCTTCATCGTCGTCCTCGTCCTCGTCTCCGTCCTCTTCCTCCTCCACCTCCTTCTCGTCCTTGCCCTCGTCGTCATCCTCGTCCGTGTCATCCTCGTCCTCTTCTTCATTCTCATCCCCCTCCTCCTCGTTCACCTCCTCTCGTCGTCCTCCATACCATCCTCCCACTCCTCCTCCCCTCCTTCCCCACATCCTCAGTTCACCATAGTTGCCCGTCTTGATTCACTATATGTATCTCTCCCTCCAGATTCCCATCAACATTCATGGGCAGCGGCGTTTCCGAATGGGCGCATGGGGATTTTACGGCCGCAGGCGAACGCGCCAGCGGCGGGCGAAGTGGGTCGGGCCGCGACCGGCTTAAATTACCGACGGCTAACGCGCGCGACTAGGCGGTCGCGGCGGCGCCGGATGCAGCAAGCAGCAACTGCGGCGAGGGTGAGGCTGATCCCAGGGGGAGCTGAACCCAGGGCAGAGCTGCAAGGTGACCCAGGGAAACCCAGGGGACACCAAATTAGCCAAACCTGACACGCGCTGCCAAAATGGCGCGAAATCTGAAGAGGCGCCAGCCGAAGCGTCGCACACCGACAGACCAAGTAATGACCGCTCAAAGGTAGGTAAACCTGCGTCCCAGGAGCAATCATGTGCACCGCTGTCCTTGCATAGCATAGCAAAAGCGCATGGGGATACGCGAAGCGTGAATAATCCAGAGGACAGCATCATACTTGTCCAATCCCGTCCAAAGAACATCTTCCGTACGGAGTCAGGGGAGCGAGGAGAGTAGTATTCAGAATGTGTAAGTGTGAAGCGAGTGAGTGTGTCAGTCAGCCAGCAAATCGGTGAGTGAGGGAGCGGACGAGCGAGGGAGGGAGACGGGGCAGGAGGGAGGGAGGGACGGACGGACGGACGGACGGAGTGACGAGTGACGAGCGAGCGAGCGAGGTGCACAGTATGTACACAGGTGTGTATGGTCGAGGGGATCAGCAACTCGAACGAGTGATCAGGCGAGTAGGCATGATCCCCGAGCAGCAAAGCACCTACGACAAAGACGACGACGACGACGACGACGACGACGACGACGACGACGACGACGAGGGCACCCCGTCCTTGGAGATCTCGATGCGGACGCCACAGTCCTTCGAGATAGAGTTGATCGTGTCGCCCCCCTTGCCGATCAGCATCCCGACCAGGTCGTTCATGATCGTGATGCTCGACTGCTGCGGCACGGCCGGGCGCGACTCGGTCTTGTCACCGTCCCCGTCCGCCTCTTCAAAGGGAAGAGAAGCACGCAGTGTGTGCCGACGACCCTGGCCTAGACCGTCCTGGGTCCAGGACTCCTCCTCCTCCTTCTCCTCCCCCTCCCTCCTCCTCCTCCGCCTCCTCCTCCCAGAGCAGACGCCCTCCTGGCTCGGCCAGGGAAGCAAACGCACCGATCCCGGGCCCAGGATGGGCCCGGCCGGGATCGGTGCAGGTGCACACTGCTCGTCGCCGGAGCCTTGCCCTTGTCCGCGTCGGCCCCCGCGGTCAGCGCTGGCAGCCCCAGCTTCTTGGCCTCCTTGCCGATCATCTCCTCGACCATCTTCTTGGCGAATTCGATGCACTCTGGGGGGCCGGTGATGTGTATCACCTGGGCAGCAAGCTTCGACACACCGCCACCGTGCCATGTCAAGGCCATCCTGGGGCCTGGCATGGTGTATACGCCCTCCTGGCCGAGGTCAGGAGGGTCCATACAGTGGAGGCCAGTCCACAAGAAATCTTCCACAAGAAACCCAACCCTGAGACCCCAGGACGTCCATTGATTTTTGGTGTGGGAACGTCACGCCTTCCATCGCAAAACCATCGAAACCCAAGAAACCCAGGGCACCCTGGAGACAAGCAGGGTATTTCTTGGCATGGGTCTCCACTGTGTACGCCCTCCTGGCCGAGGTCGGGAAGGTCCATACATAATCCTGAGGCCCAGGATAGTCCTGACTGGGCACGGCGGGCATCACAGGTTCTTTCTGCGGATCACCCTCGCGTCAGGGTCCTCGGCGCAGGCATCCTTTGAGATGTCGATGCGCGCCCCGCTCTCCTTCTTGAGATCCTTGATCGTCTCGCCGTTCTTCCCGATGAGGATGCCAACCAGCTCCTGCGAGACCTTCATTACGCAGGCGTTCGAGGAAGTGCCCGACCCAGAGATCTCGCGCGCCTGCTTCAGGATATCCTCGATGAGCTGCTTGGCTTTATCAACGCAGGCCTGTGCGCCGCTGATGAAGACGCTGCGCTTGCCGCCTGGGCTCGCTCCCTGTATCGCTGTTCCCAGCTTCTCCATCCCCATCCCTCCATCTCCCTCGCTCCCCTCTCCCTATCCCTTTCCCTCGCCCTCTCTCCCTCCCTCCCTCTCTCACTTCATAAATTCCTATTTCCTTTCTCTCTCTCTCTCTCTCTCTCTCTCTCCATCCCTCCCTCGCTCTCCCTTCTCCTCCATGTCTCTATATATATATATATATATATATGTATCCCTGCCTCGCCTCCACTCCACTCCCCCTCCCCCCCTCTCATCCATCCATCCATCCATCTGCCCCCCTCTCCCTGACTCTCTCCCTCCCTGTCTCCCCTAGAGATGAGGCTGCATCCCGTCGATTTCCCGCTCGCAATAATCTCGATCTGGACCAGATCTACGACATCGCCAGATATAGCGATAAGTATAGCAAGCTTGCCTTTAACGATATCAAGCGTTCCTCCAAATATGCTTGCTGCCCTTCCAAACGACGGTCATAAGTGACGGAACGGCTCCGCTGGAGCTTTGGTGGCAGTGTCTCCAACTCGCTGAAGGCATGCAGTATCAAAGACCTGGCTTAGGCGCTCCCAGGGAGCGGCCTGAACGTACTATTGATGTGGAAATGTTGAAAGATACGCCGCAGAAGGTTGGTGTCACCGACATAGGCCCCGCTTCACTGGATTATCAGTCGTGCTGGGCTCTGCATCGGCCCATACTGGGCCTCCAAGGAAGAAATTCGCTCATGAGTTACCTGTCGCTGGAAAGTCGCTCTTCCAAACGCTCCTCCCGGATGCTACTTCTCCTGAGGGTTACGGGGTTCAGCGATATCGTAGACGAGAGGGGGCACTCGTGGCTTCACATAACATTGGGGGGTGACATCGTCGACAGGCTTGGTGGAGCTGGGGGGCGAGTCTACTGACATAAGCATCCTTGTCGAAAGCACTGACTGGGCTCGCACGGGTCATACCATGTCTAGCATGGCGGGGGAGGGAACTGTTCTGCTGTGAGAAGCTGACATCGAAACACCGATGACCTGCATCGTCAGGCTCGCTGCTCGTGGTCTGGAGCGGCGCGGGTGGCGCCGTTGCCTGACGCTTGGGCCTGTGGTCCCTTAGGCCGCACAGGAGGGGTGCGATAGAGCTGTCGCCGCTTTGAAGAAGGCCGCGCTCTGTCGCCTGTGGCATCCCTTTTCTTGCCCACCGACTCTGCGGCTGATTTCTTCCAAGGGGTCCCAAACAGGACGGTCCTGTTGCGAGGCGGCGGTTGTTCCTCGAAGGCGTGCCGCAGACGCGGCTGCAGGAGTGTCCTACTGCTACGCACGGATCGGGGGAAGGCATCCGGGCACACCTCTCTGGAGCAGGGCCACGAGCGTGGGTTGGTACCTCTTTGTGATCTGGTCCAGGTTTGCTCTGTGCTGCAGTTGGACAGTGAATCGCGACAGCTTGAAAGAGGCCTGTCCTGCGCAAGGCGCTGGCTCACACTAGAATCCGTCACTGGACCCCTCCCTGGTCCTGCTCATCATCATCCGCCCCATCATCATCATTGCCCTAAGCATCAGAACAACAATAGTACTAATAATGAGAATAGTATGAATAAGAACAAGAATAATAATCATAAGCATCATCATCATCATCAGTAGCAGCACCATGGGCAGCAGCAGCAACAACAACATCAGCATCACCAGAATCGGCATCGTCATCAGTCATCCAAATTAGTTCTTGCGGATCCACTTCATGATCATCATGCTCATCACCATCGAAGCAACAGCAGCAGCATCCTTACCATCACCACCACCATCACCATCACTATCACCATCGTCATCGTCATCGTCATCAGCGTCGTCATCACGATCATTTTCTCATCATTACGTTCAGCATCAACATCAACAGTATCATCATCCTCATTATCAGCATCGCCACCATCATCACAATCACCAGCATCATCACCATCCTCATCATCGTCGTCGCCGTCAAAGTCGACGTTGTCGGCATCGTCAGCGTCATCGCCGCCGTCATCATCATCGTACTCAGCATCCTCACCAAGATCACATCATCCGCATCATCATCATGATCATAATCGCCATCACCATCACCATCACCACCACCATCATCGTCATCGCCATCGTCATCGCCATCTACATCGACATCGTTGGCGCCGTCGGCATCACCAAGCGGACAAGCGGACAGGCGGCCTGCAGTCGAGGTGCCGCGGGGGCACTGCAGGGTGGCGCGGGGGCGCCGCTATTGGTGAAGCAATGCGACAGCAACAGGACTCGATACATCAAATTGTCTGTAAGGAGGACAAGGAGGGGGAGGAGGAGGCAGACGGCGACGACGACACTAGAATATTAGCCGCGCAACCATGGCCACTAACCGTTGTGTGTACCCAGACTCCAAATTGTCCCACGTGTCCGTCCCCGCTAGTCGTAGAAACCCTGCAACATGTTGTGGCGCGTCTTCGACACACTGACGAATGTAGGATAGTATGTCGTCCCACCACCTGGTATTTTGCCGTCCAACACGGCGTTGTGTATGTATGTGCGCGTCATGTTGTGGCTCCCATTGTAACACTCGCTGCGCCCATTCCTTCGCACTGTTGGTACAAATTTCTTGCAACCATTTCCATTCACGCTTTTTGATTGTGGTAATCCGATATCCGATCCCCAGATTTGAAATACTATGTTCGGCTTGTTGCGTTGCACGACGGATCCCATCCGTCCAAGGTTCACTGGCATATTCTTCCTGGAGTTGGTCAGCATCCGCGGCTGGAAGTGGTTGAGCGCTGTGAACATCCCCTCCACTGCCTGTGGTAGTTGAAGACTCGTCGTTTTCCCGGTAGTCGCCGTCGTTGTCGCCGTCGTGATTGCGTCGGGGATCTTCTTCTGATGACTCCAGCTTATTTTTTCAAGGCGTTTTGATGATCATGCGGAGCATCTGTCTCTGCGTTCTGCCAATTCTGTTTCCAAAATTCCTGAATAACCGTCCATGCCTCACAATCATACAGCATTCTCGGCGTAATTGCTCCCTGGAAAAAGCGGATTCGGTTATTCATAAAATAGCGTCTTCCCGAAAGCTCCTGCTTGAGCAAATGGAACTTCTCCACGCTGCAGAATTTCGGTTTTCCATCTCGGTCTTGTGGTACTCGCTGAATTGCAGCTTTCGGCCGGGGTACTTGGTGGAGCGGCACGGCGGCAACACTTCGATCTTCATGTCGTGCACTAATACGTGGCTCGGTTGTTGTCTCGTTCGTTCGTGCCGGTGCCCATTGTGCAAAATGCAGGTCTTGTCTGGATGAATGTGAAGGCCGGTTTTCGCCGCTTCTGTGCTGAGGTCGGAGAGCATCGTTGTAATGTCGCTGCTGGAGTGCGCGATCAGGAGGATGTCGTCGGCGAAACGTAAGTTGTTCAACAGCTCGCCACCATGGGCGTGCAATTTGGATCAAAATCTCCGTGCTGCCCACTTCTGTTTCACCACTCGCATAACATGTTCGGAAACAGAATTGAGAAGCAGGGAGCTGAGTGGGTCGCCCTGTTCCGTACCCCTTGCGATGTCGACGTTTTTGCTGCGACGGTCGGTGTGGATGGTTCCTGTGTGTTGGCTGACAGCTTCTGGAACAAATTGATATACGGAGTCGGAACTTGCTGTTCTCTGAGAGATTCCCATATGCTCGCGTACGTCACGGTGCCGACAGCCTTCTTGAAATCGACGGCTGCGATCCAGAGCGGGGCCTGCCACTCATCTGTGATATCGTGCAAGATCGTCGCTGTGAATAAATGGTCGGTTGTTCCTCGCTTGGGTCTGAAACCCGCCTGGTCTGGACTTTGCTGGTCGTCTAACGTATCTCCCAAGCGTGTGCATAAGAGTTTTGGAAATAACTTATACAACATTGGTATGCTTGCGATCGGTCGATAATTCTCCGGGCGCACTGGGTCCCCACCCTGATGTAGTACCTTTCTCACAATGTGTTTCCAACTGGAGGAAGCGGGTGAGTCAGGACGTAAAATGTTGTTGAAGTGTATCCCCTGTGTGTTCGGAGCCCGCTTTGTTTTCAACTGGCGTAGTGCTTCCGACAGTTCACGGTCACTGAAAGGAGGAATCGTATCTGCTTCGTTTGGGCCGTCGTATTTCTGATGTTCTTTCTGCGCGTCGCTGTACAAGTTCGCATAGAAATCTGCAATTACGTCTGCTATGGCCCGTCTGTCGTGCTGTGCTTGGCCACTTGCATCCACCGTGCCTGGAATCAAGTCCTTTCCCTTGTAGCGTTTAATCCCACTGGTTCGCTTTAGATCTCTGTGTTGGGTGAGAATTCGATCGATAGCGGCTGTGCGAACGGCTCGTTTGACAGCCCTGAGCTCCTTGCGGATGCTCTTGTTTCTGTGTGCTCGTGCTGTCGTGTTGGTGGCTGGTGTGTCCCGTCTTTTCTGGAGTAGTTGTGCAATAGTGCTGGTCGTTGTCGCTTGCGTGGTGCCGAGTGCGTCGGATTGCTCTGTTTGGTGTTGCCCCGTTAGCGCCTCGGCGATGTCGGCCTCGATGTTCTCGCACTTGAGCTGGAGTCGAGCGTCGAGCAATGGCTTGTCCAACTTGTCTGTGAGAGAGTGGCGGTATGCAGGGATGTCGTGTGGAGCCCAAGCCGGGCGGTTCCGTCGTGGTCGACGCTGTTTCCCCTGTCGAATTGGTGCGTCTTGCTGGCTGCTGTGTCGGTGTCGTCCGGGTGGTCGGAATGTTAATCGTAACTCTCTGTGGTCGGAGCCGAGGTCGATGTCGTTCGTTGCCTCGCAGTCGACAGTTGCTCGCCATATGGGTTTGCTGGTCAATATGAAATCAATTTGGGGTTGCTGTTCTTCGGGTGATGTGTACGTGGTCATGTTGCATGCGTGCTTGTAGAAGTACGTGTTCGTAATTTGTAGTCTTTCCGTGGACACCCAATTCTTTAGCCACTGGCCTTGCACGTTGACGTCGCCATATCCACATGGCCCGAAGGTACGTCGGTCGTCCTGGGATTGTCGCTGCCCCACCCGTGCGTTGCAGTCCGCTCCGATGATGAAGGCGAGCTTCGTCAAGGTGGCATTCGGTGGAGTTCTTGCAGAATGCTGTACATTGATTGAATGCTCTTGTCACTGTATCCGCTATGTGGGAAATAAGCTGAAACGATGCGCAATCTCAATCCAGACACCACGATGTCAGCATACCATAATAGCTCGCTGATCGGTTGGAAACAGCGGATAGCATTCGCAAAGTTGTTATTCGAACCCGGACCCCATGAATATATGCCCATCTTTGGACGCCCACTGTTCGTGCTTCTCTTGACGCCATCTGTCGTTGAGTGTTATAAAAGCCCCAACATGTACCACGCCATTCTTGGAAAAGCTCCTCCACACGATCTTCCGAAATAAGTCCACGCACGTTTACCCTCATCAACATCAATATCGCCACGGTCATTATCAACAAATCGGTGGGGTCCTTCAGTAGCGCCCCGTGCCCAGGAGACCCGGTCCAAAACTCCGCCACCAGGCGGGAGTCTTGAGCTGTGGCCAAGTGCACTACAGAACACGCCCCCCCACACATATACGCACACATCAGCTTCATCATCCCCCATCATCCCTGCTCATCATTTACACCCCTGACTTTCGTAGGGCCCAGCGTGCCTGGGCTGTCTCCCGTCTTCGAGATGTCGATGCGCGCCCCGCTGTTCTGCGGGGGGGGGGGGGGGCGAGGGTGATGGCGACGAGGGAGAGGGGAACAACGACGACGTCCACGGTGACTTCAAGGTCCTCCTCTTTTCCCCTCGTCCTCCTCCTTCACCTTCTCCTCGGTCGGCCGGTCGGTCGAAAGGCAGATGAGTCGAGGCCTAGCCACAGGTGGGACAGAGCAAAAGGGGAAAAAGAAAGTGATGGCAGCACCGGCAGCGGCGCGGGGCGTCGGGCAGCTCCTGCCCACGCCAAGAGGCGCAGGCGGCGCAGCGAGGAAGGCTACACAGAACTCATCCACATGAGGAGTACTGCCCAGGGCGCAAAGAACAGCCTCCCTCCTGAACAAGACCAACTACTGTCCATAGACGAGCGCCCGCCAACAAGCGGAGCGCACTGGAAACTTATTACCACTTCGAGTGAGTGTACACTGGCGGGGCCCTTGGGCACAGCACACATTCAGCGACAGGCTCCCTCAGTGGAAATTGCTCTACTACATGCGTTGAGTCCTTTGGTCGGAAAGGGCAGGTACAGGAACAGGCAGCAGTGCAAGCACAGCCGCGACAGTGAATACTTCACACACCCCTGGTCAGTATACGTGGTTCCTGAATCATACAGTCCATAGCAATACATACCACCCGCCTCTCCCTGTGCGCCCACGAAACGTGTGAGGGGTGTGCCGAATCGGGCGCGGGCACGCCATGCGGACCATGCCGCTGGGGCCTTCGGTGGAGCTCCCCTCGGCGCCCACAATACGTGTGAGGGGTGTGCCGAGTCGGGTGCGGGCACGCCATGCGGACCCTGCCGTTGAGGCCTTCGGTGGAGCTCCCTTCTGCGCCCACGAAACGTGTGAGGGGTGTGCCGAGCCGGGTGCGGGCACGCCATGCGGACCCTGCCGTTGGGGCTTTCGGTGGAGCTCCCTTCTGCGCCCACGAAACGTGTGAGGGGTGTGCCGAGCCGGGTGCGGGCACGCCATGCGGACCCTGCCGCTGGGGCCTTCGGTGGAGCTCCCTATGGGGCGACGAAACGTGTGAGGGGTGTGCCGAGTCGGGTGCGGGTACGCCATGCGAACCCTGCCGCTGGGGCCTCCGGTGGAGCTCCCCTCTGCGCCCACGAAACGTGAGGGGTGTGCCGAGTCGGGTGAGGGCACGCCATGCGGACCCTGCCGCTGGGGCCTTCGGTGGAGCTCCCTTCTGCGCCCACGAAACGTGTGAGGGGTGTGCCGAGTCGGGTGCGGGCACGCCATGCGGACCCTGCCGCTGGGGCCTTCGGTGGAGCTCCCTTCTGCACCCACGAAACGTGTGAGGGGGGTGCCGAATCGGGTGCGGGCGCGCCATGCGGACCCTGCCATTGGGGCTTTCGGTGGAGCTCCCTTCTGCGCCCACGAAACGTGTGAGGGGGGTGCCGAGTCGGGTGCGGGCACGCCATGCGGACCCTGCCGCTGGGGCCTTCGGTGGAGCTCCATTCTGCGCCCACGAAACGTGTGAGGGGTGTGCCGAGTCGGGTGCGGGCACGCCATGCGGACCCTGCCGCTCGGGCCGTTGGTGGAGCTCCCTTCTGCGCCCACGAAACGTGTGAGGGGGGTGCCGAATCGGGTGCGGGCACGCCATGCGGACCGTGCCGCTGGGGCCCTCGGTGGAGCTCCCTTCTGCACCCACGAAAAGTGTGAGGGGGGTGCCGAATCGGGTGCGAGTACGCCATGCGGACCCTGCCGCTGGGGCCTTCGGTGGAGCTCCCTATGAGGCGACGAAACGTGTGAGAAGTGTGCCGAGTCGGGAGCGGGCATGCCATGCGGACCCTGCCGCTGGGGCCTTCGGTGGAGTCCCCTATGGGGCGACGAAGCGTGTGAGGGGTGTGCCGAGTCGGGTGCGGGTACGCCATGCGGACCCTGCCGCTGGGGCCTTCGGTGGAGCTCACTATGGGGCGACGAAGCGTGTGGGGTGGTACACCCTGCCGCTCGGGCCTTCGGTGGAGCACCCTACGGGGCCACGAAGCGTGTGAGGGTGTGCCGAGTCGGGTGCGAGCACGCCATGCGGACCCTGCCGCTGGGCCCTTCGGTGGAGCCCCCTTATGCGCCCACGAAACGTGTGAGGGGTGTGCCGAATTGGGTGCGTGTACGCCGTGCGGACCCTGCCGCTGGGGCCTTCGGTGCAGCTCCCTATGGGGCCACGAAGCGTGTGATGGGTGTGCCGAATCGAGTGCGGGCACGCCATGGGGACCCTGCCGCTGGGGCCTTCGGTGGAGCTCCCTTCTGCGTCCACGAAACGAGTGAGGGGTGTGCCGAATCGGGTGCGGGTGCGCCATGCGGACCCTGCCGCTGGGGCCTTCGGTGGAGCTCCCCATGGGGCCACGAAGCGTGTGAGGGGTGTGCCGAATCGGGTGCGAGTACGCCGTGCGAACCCTGCCGCGGGGGCCTTCGGTGGAGCTCCCCATGGGGCCACGAAGCGTGTGAGGGGTGTGCCGAATCGGGTGCGGGCACGCCATGCGGACCCTGCCGCTGGGGCCTTCGGTGGAGCTCCCTTACGTGCCGACGAAGCGTGTGAGGGGTGAGCCAAATCGGGTGCGGGCACGCCATGCGGACCCTGCCGCTGGGGCCTTCGGTGGAGCTCCCCATGGGGCCACGAAGCGTGTGAGGGGTGTGCCGAATCGGGTGCGAGTACGCCATGCAGACCCTGCCGCTGGGACCTTCGGTGGAGCTCCATATGGGATCACGAAGCGTGTGGGCAGGGTGCGCCAAATTGGGTGCGAGCACGCCATGCGGACCCTGCCGCTGGGGCTTCTGGTGGAACTCACTATGCGCCCACGAAACGTATGAGGGGTGTGCCGAGTCGGGTGCGGCTACGCCACGCGGACCCTGCGCCGGGGGCCTTCGGTGCAGCTCCCTATGGGGCCACGAAGCGTGTGAGGGGTGTGCCAAATCGGGTGCGAATACGTCATGCGGACCCTTCCGCTGGGGCCTTCGTTGGAGCTCCCCATGGGGCCACGAAGCGTGTGAGGGGTGTGCCGAAGCGGGTGCGGGTACGCCATGCGGACCCTGCCGCGGGGGCCTTCGGTGGAGCTCCCTATGCGCCCACGAACCGTGTGATGGGTGTGCCGAGTCGGGTGCGGGTGCGCCATGCGGACCCTGCCGCTGGGGCCTTCGGTGGAGCTCCCTATGGGGCCACGAAGCGTGTGAGGGGTGTGCCGAATCGAGTGCGGGCACGCCATGCGGACCCTGCCGCTGGGGCCTTCGGTGGAGCTCCCCTATGTGCCGACGAAGCGTGTGAGGGGTGAGCCAAATCGGGTGCGGGCACGCCATGCGGACCCTGCCGCTGGGGCCTTCGGTGGAGCTCCCTTATGTGCCGACGAAGCGTGTGAGGGGTGTGCCGAATCGGGTGCGAGTACGCCATGCGGACCCTGCCGCTGGGATCTTCGGTGGAGCTCCATATGGGATCACGAAGCGTGTGAGCAGGGTGCGCCAAATTGGGTGCGAGCACGCCATGCGGACCCTGCCGCTGGGGCTTCTGGTGGAACTCACTATGCGCCCACGAAACGTGTGAGGGGTGTGCCGAGCCGGGTGCGGCTACGCCACGCGGACCCTGCGCCGGAGGCCTTCGGTGCAGCTCCCTATGGGGCCACGAAGCGTGTGAGGGGTGTGCCAAATCGGGTGCGAATACGACATGCGGACCCTTCCGCTGGGACCTTCGTCGGAGCTCCCCATGGGGCCACGAAGCGTGTGAGGGGTGTGCCGAAGCGGGTGCGGGTACGCCATGCGGACCCTGCCGCTGGGGCCTTCGGTGGAGCTCACTATGAGGCAACATGACGTGTGAGGGGTGTGCCGAATCGGGTGCGGGTACGCCATGCCAACCGTGCCGCTGGGGCCTTTGGTGGAGTCCACCATGTGTGAGGGGAGCTCCCCATGGGGCAACGGTCCGTGTGAGGGGTGTGCCGAACGGGGTGCTGGCACGCCATGCGGACCCTGCCGCTGGGGCCTTCGGCGGGGCCCACTATGGGGCCATGAAAAGTGTTAGGGATGTGCCGAATCGGGTGCGGGTACGCCATGCTAACCCTGCCGCTGGGGCCTTCGGTGGAGCTCCCTGTGGGGCCACGAAGCGTGTGAGGGGTGTGTGTGTGTGCGTGTGCGTGTGTGTAAGAGTGATGATGATGATGATGATGATGATGATGATGACGATGATGATGATGATGATGGTGGTGGTGATAATGATGGCGATGATGATGGTGGTGGTGATGATGACGAGGAGGAGGATGGTGCTGATGATGATGCTGCTGATGACGATGGTGATGATGATGATGATGATGATGAACTGGTGATGGTGGTGATGATGATCCGCATGGTGATGATGGTGGTGACGATGATGATACCGATAATGATGCTGATGGAAATAATGATGTTGATGATGACAATGCTGAGGATGATGATGATGGTGATGATACTGATAAGCGTGATGATAGTGATGGTGGCGGTGATGATGGTGCTGATGATGACGACGGTGCTGATGACGATGATGGTGATGATGATAATGATGCTGGTTATGATGCTGATGACGATGACGATGGCGATAGTGATGGTGATGCCGATGCCGATGGCGATGTCGATGGCGATGACGATGACGATGACGATGACGATGACAAGGGTGGTGGTGGTGTTGATGTTGATGTTGATGTTGATGCTGGTGTTGATGCTGATAGTGATGCTGATAATGATGATGCTGATGATGATGATGACGATGATGATGATGATCTTATTTCATTCATTGTGCCAGGGACGCTATTTGCTGCCAGGGGGCGAGGGCGACTGTCTCGCCAGCAGACGGGCGCGCGAGACAGACTGGGCAGCAGCCAAACTCGAGAGACCAGAGAGGCGAGAGAGGGGGGGGAGGGAGGGAGACTTGAGCCGAGGCGGTTGCGGCACAGAGCATTGCAACGATCAAAGCACTACAAGCAGTTATATGATCTCATTTCATTCATTGTGCCAGGGACGCTATTTGCTGCCAGGGGGCGAGG